GCCTGTGCTGTGGGGTGACTGCAGCCTTTGAGAGCTGAGCATGAGGAGGGGGCTGACAGCAGTGTGTGGGCAGTTGAGTTCCTGGGGTGCAGTCTGAGGCTGTTTTGGGGTACCCTACACCATGCCTCAGGCCCACATGTGGACAGTAGTGGGGCTGTGCTGGCAGCCTGGGAAGGGCTTCAGCTTGCACGTAGCTTGCTGTCCATCCTGTCAGGAATTGGGGTGCAGCAGGGAGATAAGGATGCTCCCACCCCCCTATCCTGCCCACCTGCCCCTCTGACAACTCAGAAACCTGGTCTGGCCATCACAGGTATTTCCTGGTCCTAAACAAGGGCTGCCTCATGCTCCATTTCTCCATGCGGCTCTGCAGCAGGGACAGTGGCACTGAGCATCCTCCAGGCAGGGGAGATGGAGCCTGGCACAGCACAGTGACACTGTGAGGAGCATGTCCAGCACCCTGAGAGCTCCACATCTATTAAAGACACTCTGTTGGCCCTGCTGGGCTGCATGTCCTGGTGATACTTGTCAGGAAGCCTTGGGCTACCGGGGCAAACCCTTCCTATGGCAGGGGTGGGGAGAAGTGACCTGCCCTGCCACATTGCTTCCTGTCACTGTTTGCTCTGTTGGCCATTTGCATGAGAAGTTCTGGCATTGGGGTAACTGGGCAGTTGAAATTGAGGATGACAGAGCTGTTAGGAAGCCATAACATCCTCTAGCTACTTTGCTCTGGTGTGGGAGGAGAGCTGAACTCACTAAGCTCCTGCTTGGCCTCGTGATCTGTGGCTCATGCCAGGTTTGGCTTCTCCTGCCTGACCCTTTCCACATGCACAGGCACACACAAATCTTGCAGCTGTTTTTCCAGTCGTGCCTTGCTGCCTGCATGGTTTTTCCTGCCTGACCCCACACCAGGGCACAAGAACAAGAGCCCAAGCAGCTGGTCTGGGTTAACAGAGGCCAAACAGGTAGTACTGGGCTGCAGCAGGGTGATACTAACACAGCTCTTGGGCAGGGCTTGGCGTTGCCTGGGCAGCTCTTCCAGTTCTTACTCGAGTCCTTTTTTTATATCTGTTTTCCTTGTGGTTTATGAGCTCTTTCCATCCCCCTGCACCAGGCACCACTGGCTGCCCCTCAGGGCTCGGCAGGGCTCCCCAGCCTGTGGCTCCCTGGGGCTGGCAGGGATCTTGTGCCTCCTGGGCAGTCCTGGTGTTTGGCTGCTCCCTGAGCTGGGTGCCAGGGCTGCAGCAAGAGGAGTCCATCAGCCATTCCATGCACAGAACCCACCCCATCCACAGCACCCACACCGTGCACAGCACCCACAACGTGCCCAGTGCCCATGCACAATTCTGCCACTTGGTGTCACCTGCCATAAAAGAGTCACAGCTGAGATGTTCCCAGCAAAGCTCAACGTGAGATGCTCCAGGGGAGACAGAAGTGTGGTGTGTGGTGGTGTTCAGAGACTCCCTGGGGCAGGCATCTGCCTCTCTTGGGTCCTTAATTGCATGGGAACACGCAATGAATTAAAGCCTTCAAGGAACGGATAAGAGCTATCACAGAGTCTTAATGCACCTTCCCCTCTATCTTTGTTTCTCCCCAAATACACAGTGGTGGGTGGTGTGAAGGGTTGGACTCGATGAGCTTTGAGGTTTCTATGATTCTATGAAACCCATGGCTCCCTGTCCCACAGCCCGGGTCCTTCCCTCTCTGCTCTCACTCCTCTCCCCTGCTTCCCCCAGCACCAGAACCATGCTGTGGCCCTTGCCACGTGCTGGATCCCCTGTGCATGTCCCCCTACTCCCAGCCAGTGGCTGGTCCCTGAAGGAGTTCATCGTCCCCTTCATCACTTCACTCGGGGAATGGTCATGGCACACTGGGGCACCTTGGGCAGAGCAGTGCTGGTGTTGACCTCTGTGCCCTGAGGGGTTCCTTCATTGGCACAAGTCACCTGAGCTGTCCTTGCAGAGCAGAGCTTGGAGCAGCCTGTCCTGATGCTGGCCCCGAGACCAGACTGTGCTATTACACATGGAACACAAAAACCACAGGATGAAGCATCCCAGAGCAGGAGCAGGGCACTGGTGGGTGCTGCCCTGGCTGGGAACAGGGACCTGGGTTCTTCCTGCAGGGTGCTGGGTCCCCCCATTCCAGAGAAGGGACAGTGACAGACACCCATGCTCTGCCGAGCATTGGCAGAGTGTGTGAAGGGACAGTGGTGGCATTGCTAGGGTACAGGACCCCAGATGTTCCCAACCTGCCATTGCAGCAGGGTGTAGGTGATGTATGGAGAACAGGAGCATGGGGTGGTGTCCAGACATGTCCCTGGCAGGGATGTCTCTCCTGCCATGTGCCATGTTTAAGGAAGGACTTGATGTGTCACTTAGTGCCATGGTCTTGTTGACATGGTGGTGTTAGGTCGTAGGTTGGACTTGATGATCTCAGTTATATCCAACCTGATAGATGTTGTGATTCTGTGATCAGAGTGACAGCAAGGGGTTGGCAGAGGAGCTGAGATGAGTTTGCAGCCTCCTGGGCTCTCTGAGTACAAAAGCTGGAAATGACCTTGCTCTTAATAGTGGTTTTATTCAATGAGTTTTGCACTTCTCCCCTGATTCCAGGTGGGTGCAGGCAGTGGGCATTGCAGCTCCTGGGGAGGCTCCCTAAAAATTCAAGTCACCATACAGCCCACAGCTGCTGGTAGGATAAGCTGGAACTGCAGCTCCACGTGGCAGCAGGTTTGTGTCCTTGCTCCAGGCCTGGGCTGGGCTGAAGGATTCCTCTGAATTAGTTCCAGATGGGGATTAATGCAGCAAACTGAGTTTGCGGCAGGATAGATAAACAAACCAAAGCTCCTCTGGATGCTATTAATAAACTGCTTGCCTGCTGCTTCTGCCCCAGATTTGGGAACGTCCTGGTCCCGGCCTGGGGTGCAGCTGTGCTCTGCCTTGCTGCTCTTACTGCCCCTTGGCCATGGGGCAGAGGTGACAGGGATTCCTCTGGGTCTGTGACCACCAGGGTCCTAATGGGACAAGGGATGTGAAGGTGTGAGTGGGGACAGCATTGCTGCTCTGGGCTCCACTCTGGTGGGATGAAGTGCTGCCAGCTGTGTCCCCCAGTCCCCTGATCCCTGCTAAGCTCTGCCAAGGAAGGTGGCACAGGGAGGTGACACCCCTCCAGCCTTCTGCTGCAGGTCTTCAGGCAGCTTTGAGGTGTAAACAGGGTGGAGGCAGACTTTGAGCCCTACTGAACTAGCACTACCAAGCTTGGGTAAGGACAAACCAGTTTTGGGTGGCTGCAGCCCAACAAGATCAGCTTTTCCAAGCCTTCTCACTGAGGGGCTTGTGGGTGTCCCCCAGTGTGCATGAAGATGTGTGACCCTGCTGGGGAGGAGGAGAGTGGCTCTCACCCCAGCCTTCCTCATTGTGGCATGGCTGGTTGTCTCCTGCCAGGAGCAAACAGATCCCAGACAAGGGCTGGGCTCAGCAGAGTGGCCCATGGCTCCCAGCACAGCTCCTCACCAAGGACCTCTGGCCACGGTGGCACAGGAGATGGGGGTAGACCTGTGGATGATACGATTTTGTCCCACCCAGCCAGCTACAGAGGTGTTGGGCCAATACACCTCTCTGTAAAGGCTGGTGAGGCAGCATGCCCACGGGGGATGCCCCTGGGGAGGCTGAAGGCCAAGAGATGGATCTGGTCTTATTTCCAGCTCTCCAGCCTGCAGCACACACAAGCAGTTAATCCTAGACCACGCAGAGCTGGCTGCTTACCTGGCTGGAGCAGTGCCTGGCAGAGGGAGGGACGAGGGCACGGCTCCACACCTTGCCAGGGCAAGCATCACTGCAAAAATATTTGCAGAAAAAAGGGCAGCTCCACCCCGAGGAAAACCGGGTCCGGGAGCATAGCCTAATCCAGGTTTGCAGCCGGGTGAGAGCAGCTTGTGTCTGCAGGGAGCAGGGCACAGCCACCCGTGCCACCCACAGCCAGGCAGTGCCCCGCGCCTCCGCCTG